TGCCTTTCTGGTTTCAAAAATGAACATGAGTTCACTTGCTTATCACTTCAATCTACACAGTTTAGAAAAACTTGCAAAAATTGAATCAATTCAGCCTTGGGCTTTTTGACTCTCTGTATTTAGTCATTATATACATTCTTAATGTACTTCTCTGTCTCCCACTTCAATAATTTTCCAAAATTAAATTAACATCTCATAAATAATCTCATAAATGTCTCATAAAAATCAGAATAATTTCATTAAAAAAATTATCAGTGAAAAAATGTTTTTTAGCTAAAATAATGAGTTTGTTAAGTTTTTCTTTTTCCATTTTTGTGGAAGGCTTACAAGACTTTCAGTAATCAGTCTTATTTCCAAAGCACAGCTCAGGAGCATTATAAACATTAGTATGACTTCCCTGGCTTATCTTGCAAGGTTAATCCTACAGTTAGGTTAGTTCAGCTCCTTATAAAGATGCTTTCAACAATAAATATTTTACAGAATTCAAAATAATTGCTTACCACTAACAACTCTTTGAATGTACTAAATGAAGGAATCATGTCAAGTTGTTTCTGGAGCCTTGGGGGGCTTGGTGGGATACTTCCTAAAGGAGGTAACAAAACCTGAAAAAGATGAAGCGAAGTTTGGCCATGGGTCAGTGACTGCTTGGGGAAAGGATATTTTAATCTTTAACTACTTTGAATGGAATAAACTATATAGTACTTAGCATGGTTTTGCTCCCAGTATGAACTAGCCTTTACTTCGGGTTTTCAAAAACCAAACACTAATTTTTTTCTACCTTTTGGGGATTGTATTTTCAATTTTAAGTGCTTGTGCTTGAAAGCTATGCAGAATGGAATGGATCTTGGAATATCCAGGTATGTCCCAATCTAATCCTTCTACTTGGATTGTATTTGTCTATTCACTCACCTCTGTAAACAACAGAAAGCAAATATATTATAGCAACATGGCCCTGTGGTTGTAGACACTATTGTTGATTTACCTTATTTATGATATAAATAATGCCATTAATGCTAGGTATGTCAGCTACTATAGTTCTTGCATTCTGAATGGTTATGTCCTGAAAAATAAACAGAGGGAAACATGAGAACAATATCATGGATTCCTGACCAGGTTGTAACAGAATGTGTCCAAGGCACAACAGCACAAACTTTATGGAATTGTCTCTGCATGCATGGGCTGTATTATTTAATTTTTTTCCTCTTTGGACATGCCTACATGAGACATTTTACTGTGCAGTACACTAACGTACTGCACAGTAAAGCATCAAGTCTACACATGCATGGCATTTACTGTGCAGTAAATTAGGCTACTGTTTACTTGGCTACTACCTGTAAGTAGTAGATTAACCACACAGTAGCTTCTGTGCAGTCCAGAACATGTAGATGCTGACCAAGAGCAATTTTGCTCCCTGTCAGCCCAGGCAGCAGGGGACCACCACTACCTGGCTAAGCCTACATGTGATGGGAGCTGCTGGTGGAGGGGCAGCTGTCTTCTGGCCCTGTGCACATTGGGATGGGTCCCCACACCCACAGGGCTGAGAGATAGCTGCCTCTGCAGCTGACACAGCTCTCCTGGCCCTGTGTACATCAGGACCAGCCCCTATGCCCCCTTCCAGCCCTTGGGCTGGCATGCAAGGGAGTCTGAAGCTCCCCCTGGCTGCTGCACACATGCAGACACATTCCCAGGCACAGTTTACTGTACCTTATATCAGTGTTTCTCAACCTGTTGGTCACGATCCAAAAGTGGGTTGCAAGAATATATGAAAGGGTTGCAAACAAAGTTTAAAAATGGATTATCCTTTAAAGACGAAAAATGTGGGAAATGGTGGCTTTTCCCTTGCAGGCTGGCAGAATTCCAGCCTGCAAGGGGCTGCTTGGGGCCCCCCATGGTCCACACACATCCCATCTTTCCCCACATGCTGCCCCCCCAGCCATCAATATTTACAAATGGGTTCTGGTACAAAAAAGGTTGAGAACTACTGCTTTATATTACTGAACCGCAGCCTTACTTCTCATTAATTGTATGTGTATACATACACATACAATGTGTATGTATATATGTTTCTTAAAACATATATATGTTACTTAAAAGGTTCTTACATTCTTGCTCCTTATCTCCCATCTCATTTGCGGATTAAGGGTGGGTAATTCCTGACCATCATATTTTTTCAACTGCTCTGAGGTAAAGGAACCTTGGAGAAAGTGAGACCTGAAGGTGACAAGTACACATAAAGAAGAATTTAGAATTTGCTTTAAAACAGCAGAGAGATACATTTGAGGTAGGCTGGATTATCGTTGCAACCATTTAATAATAGCTTATCATCTTATCTTGCTGTCCACATTTATGAACCAACACCTTTAAGTACTGATGTGAGCAGCAAATATTTTTGCAGGTGATATCATGTATTGAAACAACTAAATTGCTGGGAAGGACAAAAATAACCTGAGGAGGGGTATTGTGGTACCCTGAAGCTTGTCTATATCCCTCCCAACTATACAGCTGATCCAGTGAAAGATATTATCCACAAAACTACTTGGTTCTCACATTTTTCCTGAGCCATCAAGGCTACAATATCAACCAAACTACCTAAATATTGATAGCATTACATGCTTGAAACCAATCAGTATTCTGATGACAACTTGCAGTATGTAAAGCCCTCTGTTGCTTGAACTCAGGTGAAAATATTATAGATGGCTCAGTTACCAGAGAATGTTAGCGCTAGGTGTTTCACTATGTAGATATTATATAAAATCCATTTCTGCACAGTGTCCCCTACAGACGCTGCAGACAGATATTAGTGTCCATACATATTACTGCCAGTTGGCTCCCCTTCAGTTCCCTATTCTTTCCACAATAAAAAGTCCGTTGAGACTCCAGAGTCTGTATTTGAAGCCCCTAACTCATATTTCACATAAGATATGATTAACCAGTTAATCAAGTCTTACTTAAGTAGCAACCCAGCCACATGCTAATGCAATTAATGTCATGATAAAACAAGAAATAAACCACAAAGTTAGTACACAAAATAATGTAAGAACCAAGGATCCTGGTTTTCTCTGGTAACCCCCCACACACAAATTCTCTGATAAAAATGCAAATTGTCTGATACATAAACCAAAATCTATGACTAAAATGAAATGCCACTACACACACACACACACACACA